GCAGGCATCCTTTCCTCTCTTGTGGCCGACAAGTCCTTTCCCATGAACCCCTGCTGACCTTGCCGGCCACGTGGCAGGGGGCTCCCCGACTTGCCACCAGAACCTGCTGCCTGCCCAGGCCTGGCCATCAGAGACAGGGTGGCAGCTGAGGAGCCAGGGCAGGGGGTGTGACTGCTATTGGCACCGCCCAGAGGGGCAGGGCAGGAGCTCTGAGCCTCTGAGTTGTCTCCAGTAGAGTGCCTGCACCTTCCTGCTCCCAGACGTGTCCCCTCAGTGTGACCGGAAAACTGAGATCCCAGAGGAAGCCAGTGTCTGAAAAGGACCAAAACTCAGCAATCCCTGGCTCTGGCTGGGACATGCCGGCTGCTTCTCTATCAGAGATGTCCCGATGGAGGGCAAGAGGGTCTTTGGACACATCTCCCCACCTGCCTTTCACTCCCAGAAACTTCCCAGAAGCTGTGGGGGTGCAAGCCAAGCCATGTTGGAGAGACACCTGACCAGTAGAGGAAAACACAGAACAATAAGCTAGACAGAGAACTTTCTTCCTTCCCTCCTCAGTGTTGCACTCAGGTTCTCCCAACTTTCCTTCCAAATCTGACCTGGCTGCATGAACTGGCATGTTCCAGAAAGTCAGCTGGATGCCTCTATCTGGAGACCATGTTTCTCCATGCCTTTTCCTCCTCCTGGGGTCCCCCTTAGATGGATGACCTTACCATTCACCTGTTTGCTTAAGCCAGCCAGAGCCCTGGAGCACCATCTCCCCACTCCCACTTACTAGTGTCCCATTCATTTGTAGGTCCCTGCCTCACCGGGACAGTCATCTGTTGTTGATGGCTCCTGCATCTCTTCTGTCACTCTCTACCCCAGCCATCCCAAGCTCTGACCGGCCATTCACTTGTCTTCATCTGGGCATCCCTATCTCTGGACTCCTCACCCTGCTTAGAATTCCCTTTCCTGGCATTAGATCCCTCTGAGAAGCCGTTAGATAAGTAGTTCTCTACTTGTGAAGGTGCGATGACTCTTTCACAGGGGTCACCTAAGACCTTCAGCATATCAGATATTTACATTACGACTCATACCACTAGCAAAATTACCCTTATGAAGTAGGCTCAAAAATAATTTTATGGTTGGGGTCACCACGACATGAGGAACTGTATTAAGGGGTCACAGCATTAGGAAGGCTGAGAACCACTGCCCTAGATGGAAGTGACATTGCCTTCCTGTACAGCCCATAGGCAGCAGCTGGGTCTCTCTGAATACTTTCACCCCCACACTATGGATACCTAATGCTACATCAGAGTTCCTACCAGTATGGCACTGCAGGATGGGTGCCTGTCCTTTCTGCCATGCTGAGCAGGTGATATATGGCTGAGGCTGCACAGAGCTACAGTCTCCTTCCCTGAGACACTGGGGAGTTCGACAGACTGTCCACCATGTGATCACAGGCCTGGCTCTGATGAGGGATCAGGGCCCTTTCTGCTACACTGGTTCTGAGAGACACTTGCATTTCAGCTCCTGGAGCTCTGAGCTAGGCCCAAAAGGCCACAGGCACTTGCAGACCTCACTGTCCTGGACCTGTGTCATACCTAAGAGCAGGGACATCAGAGAGGATAGGTGGTCATGTTTGATATGGCCATGGCAAGGCAGAGGATCCTTAGGTGTAGCCAGCACAGCTGCCTAGCAGTCTTCTGGTCCCCAGCTAGCTTCCGTCTAGGCTAAAGTCCTGGAATGAGAAGCTGGCATCTGCCCTTTTACAGAGGGCACTTCTGGGGTCAGCCTTAAGGGACTGGATCAGGACACCAAGCAGCCAAGTCCATCCCAAGTCCAAGAAGCCCCTCCATGTCTACTTTTGTGCCCACAATGTATGCAGAAACATTGGTGCTGAGTGGGGAAAGGAGGGCTCAGGCCATAGCTTGAGGACTTCAGGGCATAGATAAGACAAAAGTGTGAGTCCACAGCCTTTGAGGGCTTCATTTTAGGGTTCCCAGGCTTCACACAGGTCTCCAACTTTGGCTTGCTTCCTCTTAGGGGATTCTCTTTCTATACCACTGAACTGTCTACTCTGCCCTCTGCATATGTCCTTGCAGTAGCATCCCCCACCAGGCTGGGAGCTTCTGGGTCCTCTCTGACCCAACAGTGAGTGGAACTAGGCACAGGGCTCAGGGAGGCATGGTCTCTATTTCCTTTGGCAGCCCCTTCCTACACTCCCATCCATCCTAGGACATCCTATGGAGCCATCTCCTCTCCTTCCCTTCACAGCCTACATGGTCAGAGTCATGGGTGCTTCTTCAGTGGACAGCATCACCCTCCCCCATTCCTACTGGCCCCCACTGGTCCTCACATCTTTACAAAGTACCTGTCTGCCAAGACACCCCCCTCCTTTCAGGCCTCTTGCCCCAGGATCCCAGCAGTTGGGAGGAGAATTTGCACAGCTTACATTCCAGCTAACCTAACCTCACTTGGCTGAACGTGGTGGTGGTGGTGGTGGTGGTGGTGGGTGTCCCCTGGGCACAGGGAAGTCTCATTCCTCACTCTTCTTGTCCAGCCAGAGCCTCGTTTGTTTCTCCCACACACTCTTCACAAACACATTCAGGACATAGGTGAAAAGCCTGGCCCAGGGTTGGGACAGAGGAGCAAGAAACAGCCAAAGGGCCCGTCATCCTTCGTTGTCTATACACAGGCTCCATCGCATTTCCCTCG